GGAACCACGGATTGAACTCAGGCCCTTGTGCTTGGCAGGGAAGTGCTTATTCCACTGAGCCATCTCCCTGGTGCCACACAATACTTCAGTTCTCAACTCACAGTGCACGTTTGATGAACTAGCACCATGGATATCAAGAATTACTGTGCACAGATGAAATAAACTTCCAACAAGTGCGGAGTGACTGCAGGTACTGTGCAACAGCTCTTGCCCTAGCACTAACCATGCACAAGCAATCAGGGAGTCAGCCTGCCTATGTCTTTGGCATGGTCCCCAAAATAATAGCTGAAGTAACCGGTATCAGTGTGACCAACCAGAACATCAGCTGAATCCTATGGCTAAAATACTCTGTTACTCTGAATGGACTTTTACACAAGGTGCCGCCAAAGCACCTAGGAGACAACGGGGACTTCAAGCTGAGGCAGGACACCTGTCGCTTGCTAGTGGATGTTAACATCAGTTTTCACAGTACCATATTCTACCTGTTAGCAGGTTATGAGGGCATCAGGAAGGCTCTTTTTCTTTTTTTAAATTAGGAAAGGCTACTAACAATCTATCAAAAAGTATTTCTCAAGGAATCGTCAAATCATCTGACTTGGGGGGCCTGCCCCTTAGCTCAGTTCTTTAAGTGGCTGCTTCAACAAAGCAGTCAGGCTCAGGTTGCTGTGGTTTGATCCCCACAACTCAAGTCAGCCAAACCTGCCCTGAAGCACTGGGAGAAAAAAAAAATCCTTGGGGCCAGGGAGATGGCTCAGTAGAATAAGCGCTTGCCTGACAAGCGCAAGGACCTGAGTGCAATACACGGTTCCGCAAAAAAATCATCTGACGTGGGACACTGTGGTAACTCGAGGACTCTCAGAATTAGGAAACATCTGAGCAAAAGCTGGGTGACTTACCCTTCCATGCTGAGTGCTGTTCCTGACCCTATTGGAATCTGAAAGCAGAAAGGAGCCTTGAGAAACTTGAGGTCATCTTTATTTATATTCCTGACCTGGGCTACCATAGTGCCATGCTTGAGGAATGTGTTCATGGTCCCAGGACGTATGAGCTCAGTTAAACACAACTCAGATAAAACTAAAACATTTAAAAGCAAAATAAATAAATAAATAAATAAAAGCATTTAATTTTAATCTTTATTACCTTCCTGATATAAAAATAATACAGGCTAACCACAGCAAGGAGTAGTGATGCACACCTATAATCCCAGCACTCGAGAGGCTGATGCAAGAGGATCATCAAGAGTCTGAGGCCTGTCGGGCTACACAGTGAATACAAGGCAGCCTGAAATACAGAGCAAGACCCTGTCTCAAAAGAACAAAGCCAAAACCAAACATGCTAACTACAAAAGTCTTACATTATGGAAAATGAAAAAAAAAATTGCCCCAGAATCCTAACCTCAGAAATGACTGTAAGTATTCTTCCACATTTTTAAAGCATACAGTAGCATAAATTACATATACATATGCTATTCTGTTCTAATTTTTCAAATAATTTTAAGAAATAATTCAACTGAACAGTTTCTCCAAAAAGCTTTAAGCATCAGTTTTCAAAGATCCAATTACACAGTAGGTGGAAAAAACTAAGTTTTACCATGCATTATTAAATATCATTCCAAGTATTAAAGGTAAAATCAAATCCTAAAGATATAGGAAGTCAAAAGTTCAGAAAATCCAAGTTCCTTATCAAGATGAAAACTTCTAAATTCCAATTCCAGCAAGTATCAGAAAATAGCTTTAAAATTCTAATGTGGAAGAAATGGTCACTTCCTTCACATAAAGCACAGCTCTGCAAGTATTCCTATAGATCTTCTCTTCCAAGAACATGAGGGGTGGACGTGGAACCGAATTCAGTTGTTGCAACTGGTAAAGGACAATTTTGATTCAATGTCCCACAGCTTGGTCTGTAAGGCTTTTAAGACATCTTCCATCTAGTGAGTTTTAAAAAAAGATAAAGAAACACAAGTGTTAAAATAACGAAAAATGATACACGGCTAAAATATGATTAGAATTACACTGCTCATACAATTTTGCATGCTACTTATTATGTATAACAGTACTGAATATCTAACAAAACATTTAGATACATAAATCTTATTTAAATAAGACATCATTCTACCAAACTGTAGTTTTCAACTTATACTCTACAGCTACAGTCACCATCATCTTGCCCATCATGCCATGAAAACAAGGTAACCTTCAGCAATAAGGTGAAGCAAATCCAATCAAATACGCATTTGGCTTAAAGCTATGTTTCCAGTTTAACAGGTTAACAATATAGGATATTTCGATTTGGGTATCTGATGTCCTCATTATTTTGTTGATAAAGCTTTAGCACAATTTATAGTTCGGTTCCCAAAAGATCAACTTATTAACAACTGAAGTAAAATCATCAGTTTTACCAGGAAAAGTGCTCAAACAATAAGAGAACTGTCATACCATTATGAGAATTATCACATGGAGGGGCACTTGCACACTGGAAGGAAGGTCTTCAAAGAAATAAAATGTTCAGAATAAAATTACCTGTTTTAGAGACTTCTCCATTTCCACTCTACTTTCAAGATTAAGCAGCTCTTTGTCTTCTGACACAATCTGCTTTTCAGAGGACCCTAAAGCGTAACTAGAACAGTGTTTGACACAGTTAAAACACAAAAGGGAGCAAATGTGACATTGACATTAGTTAAAAATATTAAAACTCTTTTTTAAGTATATCACACCATACATCAGTAACAAGCAAATGAATACAACAACTATGTGTCCTAAAGCACCCTACGTAGGAAGCTGTACTAAAGTCAGATCTTTCTCCATAACAGTTATGTCCACTATTTCTACACATTAATTTTCCACTACATATATTTCATTATTGAAATAAATTTGCTCCTTGGGAAATTGAGTGACAAAAACATCCGAGTTCAGAGTTCTACAGGTAAGTTTAAAGATCCAGAAGGAACTGCTGGTTTCAAGGACGCCACTGATTCCTTTACCTAACTTCTTAAGAACATGTGCTTTCCTATTTCACTCTCCCTTGTTTGTTGTTTGAGACGGGGTCTCGCTATGCAGCTCAGACTGGCCTTGAATTCACTATGCAGCCCAAGGTTCTCAAACTCACAGCTACCTTCCTGCCTCAGCCACCTGAGTGCTGGGATTACAATAGTAGGCCATCACAGCCAGTTTCGCATTTGACTTTTAATAAATAGTACTTTGGAATAATCTCTTGATTACCAAGTTTGAACAACTTCCAAAAGTTATCCTCCAAGTCATGCTTTGCTCTGCAACTGTAGGGTTACTACCCACTGTGGTTTGGAAAAGTACTTAACAGCTGAAAGACTGGCCTAGTAACAGGAGGAAACAGGCCTAGCCCTGGCAAGCAGGCAGACCATATAAAAGGGAAAAAGCTCAATTTCTTTGTCTTTCTATAAATACAAGTCTTTTATCACATATAGCAAGTCTGTATGTCACTTCTTTTCCCTTTGGAAACCCATGGGTTGTATTCCGAAAAATAACCTGGTGAAGTCAAGTAACTTCCCATTTAGGAAAACAAAAACACTTCCACCTTGTTAGACCAGGAATTCATTATATTCTTTTGTATCAGGGTTATAAAAAATTTGCAGATTATAAAATTTTGATCTCAATCTGTCTAATTTCAAGGTCCAGCGATATAGTTCAGCAGACTAAGTGCTTGCTTAGGTAAGCGCAGGGGCCAGGGTTTGAGTCACTGAGACTGGGCATGGTGGCGCTCAACTGTAATCCCAGCGCTGGGGAGGCTGAAAATAGGAGGTTCACTATGAGGCTGAGCTGTGTAGTGAGACCCTGTACCAAATACATTAAAAATATACATATATATTTCACAGGCATCTGTTATGGCTGTTACAGTGTGTCAACTTGACAAGTTCAGAGGTTTAACTAAATGACTCAGCAGGAACCCAGGGTCCTCACTTTGTAAACACCCTCAGCCTGTGCAAGACAGAGGGCATGATATGGTGGGGGTACAGAGGACCTGCCCTGGGGCGAGTAGCCTGCATACCACGTACGGAAGGAAAAAACTTGCTCTCCGCTCCCTTTTGACTCTAGTTGCTTTTGCTATCTTCTGCTACCATGAACTGCTGCCCTCTGCCATGTGCCACCCTGCCTTGGAGCCAGCTGATTATGAACTGAAACCTCCATAGACTGTAAGCTAAATAAATCTTTCCTTCCAAAACTTGGGGTGTCAGTTATTTTGTCCCAGAAAGGAGAGTACAGTAACCAAGACAGCATCTTTCTCTTGTCCTCAGAAGCTACACTAGGCAAATGTTCCCCTGCTGAGCTATGTCTCCAGGGCTCCCAGGCAGCCTCCAAGTCTTGGAGTCCCAGGCATTGCAGTGGAATTTAACTTTGCATGTCCTTTAAAAAACAAAAAGGCCAGGGGGCCCTGCCAGTTAGCTCAGTTGTTTAAAGCACCTGCTTGGGCAAATTCAGTCAGGCACAGGGGACCGAGGTTGATCCCCAGCTCCACAAGCTGCACCAGACCCGCCCTTAAAAAGCAGCCTGAGCTAGCCAAAAGAAAAAAAAAGGCCAATGAGCTGGAGGGCCCCCTGAAATTCTTTTAACTGCTCCCTAACTATTACTTTTTAGAAATCTTAAGGGGTGGAGGTATTTAGTTGCATATCTCAAAAAGACAACTGTTTACTACTGGCAATAGTTGGATTTTGTATTTCCACTTTTCCAAAACATCAAAAGAACTTCTTTACTAACCAATTTTGAAATTCCTGCTTTCTTGATATTCTAAGAAGCTAAAAACTAACTAATGGGAAATGAGCAATATATGTTGAGTGATACAAGTAGTACTCAAATAATCTTATTAAGCTACAGTTAATTTTTAAAAACAAGCAAACACATTTTTACTTCAAAAAATGTTCTCCCAATGTTTTCTCCTATAATGTGGCATGTGAGCTTTTCCAGTATCGAATAAAGCAAAACAAACAATATTTCAGTGGCTTAATTATCAGAAATTATTACTTGGGGAGAAAAAAAAAAAAACCTAACCAGTGCTTAGTTCTAATATTTCCAGACCAATTGTCCACAAACAATTTTCAGAGAAAACAGTGAGGAGGCAGACATTCACATATAAAAACTTACCTTTCAATGGCTTTCACGCTGAGGCAAAACAAGTTCCTCTTGTAATCTAGGTGCTTGGGAGTGCATCTGTACACGTAGCCAAGGTGCAGCAGGCAGCCGGCACAGTACAAAGTCTCAAGAACGCTGCCATCGAGAAATGGCACCACTTTAGGGAACACAGCTGCAGCTTGTTAGGGGAAAACCCCACCCAGAAACCCTGTCAAGACTGAAGCTCCAACGTCATTCTGACCAAATCAAGTCATACATATGAGGAGAGGAAAAAAAAGAATAAGGTGCTTCCAAGAGAACTAGAAAGAGAGTCATTCATAGTCCACAGTGCCTTAGGCATCCAATGACAAGGGACAGACATAAAGTGACAACACACACATGATGAAGATACACACATCATGCTTTTCTCAGTCTGACATTAAGAAAAATTATCTAAAATTTAAAAATAAGGCTAAATGATTCTAGCTGGGCATGGTAGCACATGCCTGTAATCAGAGGCTGAAGCAGGACGATCACTGAGTTGGAAGCCAATCTAGGCTACAAAGTGAGTTCAAGCCCAGTCTGAACTGCAGAGTGAAACCCTGTCTCAGACAAAAAAAAAAAACAAAAAACCAGAAACACTGAAAGATTCTATGTCCTTTTAATGCCACTGTCCAACCCACAAACCCACCATGAATACTCAAGGGCAGGGACAGACAATGTTTTCCCCTACTAAAGCAGATAATAAATACTTCAGGCCACCGGTCGCCTTTGTCTGTAACGTAGTGCATGGATATATATCTGAGAAAGTCTGGGTTCCATGAAGAACGGCACCAGCCCAAGAGCCCAGGACCAGTGTGCAACATGGCTCCGACGGAAAGTACCACCGCTTCCTTGAAAAGGACTCCAGAGTTAAGGGGCAGGGGGAACTCTAAAGTTAGATGATGACTTGCAAGAAGAAGACAGATGAATGGCAAGTAGTTGTAATCTGGTAGAGAGATGAGTGACATCCACTAGTAGAAAAAGTAATGCCAGAAACTGAGGTTTCAGCGACATACAGGACAATAGCAAGGGCATCCTATATAGCAATGTCCCCCTCTGTGCTAGCTGTGTGCCATGTTTTGGTTCCCTCACTAATTGGCCGAACAGATCTTTGATGTGCGTTTATTCCATATGTTAGATGTTAGAATTAATTTTTTTTTTTTTTTTTTTTTTTTTTTTTTGTGGAACTGGGGATTGAACTCAGGCCTTGCACTTGCCAGGGAAGCGCTTATTCCACTAAGCCATCTCCCCAGCCCTGAATTTTTTTT